CCTCTCTTTCACCAGACCCCCACCGACCATGGAGGAAGTACCGACCCGTTAGCCGTCGCCTCGCCTCCTCGCCTCGCGCCGGCAACATCGCACCATTCGCACCGGCTCAGTCGCGCTTAGCTCGTATGATATGCATGATGGTCATACTGGGTATAGGAAGAGCGCGAGGGGTGGTTAACTCCCCTGCTAAGTGACCAATTCAAAAACAATTCAACTAATTCAGTTCATGAAATGTGTACACCCAATTCAGGAGTTATCTACCCGAAAGACAGTCGCTATTTCGGTAACAATAGTAAAGCTATGCCGAACATTTCGCCATATGCTTGCCAGTACTGCGGGTCTGCCTATGCTCGACTCGGTGGGCGCCCAGGGCAGGTGGGAAAACGAGAGCGCACTGCGTACTACAGTAGGTGTGTGGTGTGTGGGTGGTATCTGTGTGGCAGACAGACAGACAGACAGACAGACAGACAGACAGACAGACAGACAGACAGACAGACAGAAACCAGCACGATGGACAGTACTTACCGGGTATGGTGATCTTATCCTCGGCCGCCGCTGGCCGACGAGCTCGGGCGCTGAAGTTCGCGGGGCCCGTGAAGTCCTTCGCCTTTTTCGGGGAGACGGCGACTCGAGTGACGGCGGGCGCCACCACCACGTCGACCACGAGGACGGCGATGTCGGTGACTTTGTGATGGAAGATGGAGGCGCAGCGCTCGCACGAGTCGTACTTGCAGTCGTGCTTCTTGCCCTGCCTCCTCTCCCTGTGCTCGCCGTGCAGCATGCAGCGGGTGCAGCAGGGCAGCGTCAAGACGTAAGGGTGCGTGCTCCTCTCTTTCTTCTTCGCTTTCTTCTTCTTCTTCTGCGTCTTCTTCGCCTTGCCCTCGCGCCCCTCGCGGCCGCCACCGGTGCCGGACTCCCTCGCGCTCGACGGGCGCACCTTCCACCCGGTCCTCGACGCCTTGTACGCGCAGAGGACGACTGGCGGCCGCCTCCGCAGTCCGTCTGTCTCCTCGGCCTGCTCCGCGCTCGCGTCCTCCGGCTCGCCGTCGGCCGCGGACAGCTGGTGGGAGCGCCTGTAGGCCTGCAAGGCCTCCACCGCCCTCCTGGCCCTCACTTTGGAGCAGGCCGCGCACTGGCACTGCTCGTGCGGGCACGGCTGGTGCTTCACGGCGGCGACCACGTTGTGATTCCGGCACAACCGACACGACTTGACGAGACGGGACCGGGGCCCAGGTCTGCGCCGATCAAGGCGCTGCTGCTCCCGCCGCAGCTGCCTCACTCGGCAGCACTCCTCGCACACGCACGCCCTGTAGGGGCACAGCTTGTGGTTCTTATTCGCGATCTGGCCGTGAAGCAGACACTGGACGCACCGGTGGGCACCGATTCGGGGCGCCTCCCCTGCCGACCTCATCGCAGGCTCCTCGTCAGCTTCCGTCAGCTCCTGCTCGGC